GACTACAAGATACAGGGAGGATGCCAACCTGTACCAAAAAGATGGAGTTTCCCCATCTTAGAATTTCCCTTAACAATGAAATTGCAGGTCTCATCCTATCCCCTAAGAATACCTTTTAGCCTTAATTAAATGTTTTCAATGAACAAACAGCCCCTTTCTCTTCCTCTCCCCCCCAAAAAGGAAAAAAAAAACCCTTGTACATATGCATAGTCAAGCAAAACAAAATTTTTGCCCCAATTAAAATTCATAAAGCTTTCATAACTCTTCTTTCATTTAATCGTGAAAACAGCCCATAGAGGGAAGTAGAGCAGAGAATACACTCACAGTTGGAAGAAATTGAGATACTGAAGGGTAAAGCATTCAAGGTCAGGTTTCTGACTCTCATGTGCAGTGTACTTTCCACTACTCTGCCTCAGGTCAAATGCCAAGAATGGCATGACACTGATGGGGGCTCAATCCTAGGTGGCAGAGTGTGATTGTTGATGAGGTGGGGGTGGGGGTGTAGAAGTGAGGACAGGGTCAGTGCAATACACATTAAGGCTAGCCTTCTGGCCACATTGCTTTAGCAACTAGGCCGAGAGAGTGAGGCTTCAGCTCAGGAGACAACCCAAAAGCGCCTTTACACAATAACTCATTGACAGCCTCACATCCCCTCCCCATCTCCTCCTCCCACCACTTCCTTTTAAAATGCATCTGTATTTCAAATCCTGTCAAAGGCCCATTCAGCTGGTCTTTCTCTGCTCAGCTCTCACACAAAGGCCTGCCTAAACTCATTAGGGAAATGGCATCTCTAGTTCACTCTCTTGCTCCCAGAGGAATGCAAGCGATTAAATCAGGACTTGTTTCCTTAGAATTGGAAAAAGGCTCCTCCTCTCCCCTTCCCCCCTCAAAAAAAGGGGGGAATCATGCTGGTACAAGCTGCAATCTGCAAGTAACTCACAGGCTGTCCTGGTACCAGGCTTTTGGGACACAGGAACAGCTTGGCAACTTGCTAAATCCCTTTACACTCACACTTCTCCATTTACTAACATGCCAGTAAGAGTCAGGGAGCTGTGAGTTTGCTGCTTCAGCGGCAGCCCAGCCTGGTTTTATTCCTCTCAGCCTCCCTCTCCTCTGCTGGCATCCACAGGCCCTTCCTGTCCCAGCCCCCTCAACCCGGCTGCGCTTCATCAGACTAGTGGTGTAGCTGGTCAGTCAACAGTAACAGCTACCACCACCACCACCACAACTGACTTTTTTTTTTTGCTTTCTGGTGAAGCAGTCAGGGTTAAGTGACTTGCCCAGAGTCACACAGCTAGTAAGTTTTATGTGTCTGAGGCCAGTTTTGAACTCAGGTCCTCCTGACTCCAAGGCCGGAATTCTATCCACTGCACCACCTAGCTGCCCCAATAACTGACATTTTTATTGTGCTTTGAGGCTTACAATGTCCATTACGCCATCCATCTCATTTGGTCACTGGAATAACCCTGGGAGGGAACTGCTATAATTACACTCTTATTCCCAGTTTACAGATCATAGTATTTGTCTGTGCAAGGGAAAATGCACATTTATTAAGCCCCTTACCAATGTGTCAGGCACTATATTAAGAGTTTTGTAAGTATCCTATTTGATCTCCCCAACAGCCCTGGGTGATAAGTACCCTTATGACCTCCATTTTACAGCTGAGGACACTGAGGAAACTCATTATCCCATGAGATGAAATTAGCTGTGAAACTCATACCTCCCATGATAGATGATTTTAATTACACCCCTATTTTATTCCAATCAATATTAATTAGTTTAGTGTGATTTCATAGGGGTAGTGATTATTAGTAATTATTAGCATTATACTCATCTATCAATATATGTTTAGTTAATCAACTAATATTAGTATAGGAAAGTCCAAATTAACACACAGTTTACATTTGGGGATAATTAAATAAGAGAGGCTCTTTCTTATCATGGGTCCCAAATTTTAAACTACAAGAGTAGAAATTCACTTGCTTGTTATGAAGTTTGCTTGCTTAATCACAGGAAGCTAACTAGAGGACCTCCACTCTTTCTTCCTGCTGAGCAGGGGGCCAAGCCCAATATTGCAGAGATAACTCAACGACATGGAAAGTCCCCCAGCTATTTTTGTTGCCCCTCCATCCCTTGTCAACCCTCCACTGCCCAACATGGGGAGATGGCCATGAGCACTGGGGCCAACAGGTTTGCCAATCAGCCCATGTGGATGTTTTAACACCTGTTTACTAGCCCAAGCCCATGGGTCTGCTTGTCAGCTCAGCGGGACCTCCTGGAAAGTCAAGATATAGGTTTGTCAACCAATGGGATTCTATTTTACGTAGACCCTCCTGGAGGGTCAAGTTCAAGATGTATCAACCAATGAGAAGCTCTATTTTTAGTTTGCTTCATCTGTATTGTCTGGTTATCAAGCACTATAAAATTGAGGCCCTGACGAAGAGGGGGCATCTCCGATTGTGAGAAAGACGAGGTCCCATACATTAAAGGGGGTCAGGTCGCTTTAATAAACAGTTATTAGATTAGAGCTCTGCCTCAGTTTCTTTTATTGAAGACTGGACATTTTTTGGACCCTACATTCCTCAGTACCTTCCCACCTCCCCCAGAGAGGGTGAAGGGTTGAGATTGGATAGCTCCTTCCAGATCCTCCATAATTTAAGGAGCTTCCTCCCTCCTCAGCTTCTTTTCATGTGTAGTCTTCTTCCATTAGATTATGAGTTCCTTGGGGGCAGGGATTGTCTTCTGCCTTTTATTTATCCCTAGCACTCAGCACAGTGTATGTAGCACAGTACATAGTGTTTGCCTAATTAATGTCTATTGACTCAAACTCTGAAGCACAGGGAGGTTAAATGACTTCCCTGGGATCACACAGCTAGTAACTGAACTCAGGTCTTCCCGAATCCAGGCCCAGAGCTCTATCCACTGAACCACCTAACGGCCTACCACTACCACTGCCACTACTACTACAGGGCAAAAATCCTTGCTGCAAGTACAACCCTAAGAGATGAGGACACTGCTTTTGAGAGAGATTAAGGATTTACCCAGAATCAGTAAATGGCAGAGATGGGATTTAAGCCCAGGTTAGTGTAAATATGATCATTCCTGTTTTACAAATGAGAAAACTGAGGCTCAGAGATGGTGAGTGACTTATCTAAGGCCACACAGCTAGTTAATGCCAGCACTTCTACTCCAACTTAAGTTTTGTGACTTCAAAACTAGTTTCCGATATGCCACCATAGAGGTGTGTTCAGAGAGACTAGTTGTAACATTTCAGTTATATTTGACTGTGACCCCATTTGGGATTTTCTTGACAAAGATACTGGAATGGCTTGTCATTTCCTTCTCCAGGTCATTTGACAGTTAAGGAAACTGAGGCAAACAGGGTTAAGAGACTTGCCCAAGTCATGCAGCTAATAAGTGTCTGAGGCCAGATTAGAACTCAGGTCTTCCGTGATTCCAGGCCTAGAGCTCTATCCATTTGCACCACCTAGCTGACCAGGGAAATATCTAACGGCAAATCAGTCAATGAGCATTTATTAAGGGCTTAGTTTGTACAAGGCACGGTGCTAAACACTGAGGGGATGCAGAGAAAGGCAAAAAAAAAGTCTCTGCCCCCAAGAAGCTCCCTTGGTAAAGGTACTCAGGAAAAGCCCCACCTCACCGCAGCTCCACTCAGTCCCCAGGAGATCAAATGGGGTAACAGCACCCATCATTTCTATAGTTCTTTATGGTTTGTAAAGAGCTTTACAAAATTATCTCATTTGATACAACTCTGGGAGGTAGGGGCTATTATTTACCCCGATTTTACAGAAATCCTCATCTGAGGCTAAGGAAGGTTATGATTTACCCAGGGTCATGTAGCTAGTAAGTGTCTGAATCTGGATTTGAACTCGGGTCTTCCTGCCAGCAGGCTCAGCGCTCTGTGCTTTATGGCGCCACCAAGTGGAAATGGAAGACAGTTTCAACTTTCTAACTCCTTGTACCCCTCCTTCGCCTAGGGCCAAATGTCACTCCCTTCATCTTTGCTTTGTCTTGCCACTGCACTCTGATGACTGACAACTTTCCTCAGCTCTGCCTTGCTTCTGTTCAGTTCCCGCTAAGTCAAGATGTCACCTCCTAGATCTCATTGGTCTTTTTGGAAAATGAAGGACAAACAACAGGGAACATCTTTGTAAGATCATCTAGTCCAACGTTCTCATTTTACAGATGAGAAACTGAGGCCCAGAGAAGTGAAGGTCACACAAGTGGCAGAGAGCTGGGATTTGAACCCAGTCCTTGGGATTGTTCTTCCCATTGGCTCACCTTCACACACAGCTGTGGGTCATTCTATTCACCTAGCCAATACGGGATCAATGAAGTCTCAAGGGTCAAGGTGCCCCTGTTATCACAGCTGTCAGCTTCCCTCCCTCCCCAGCAAAAGTTACCAAAATTTAACCAGCAATCACCAGGACATAACACGATAGCGTAGCATAGACACAGAGTGAAGAAACACGGGTTTGAGTCCCAGATCTGCCGATAATTTTCTGTGTGAACCTAGGCAAGTTATTTAACTTCTTCAGGCCTCAGTTTCCTCATTTGTCAAATGAGAGATTTGAGTTGCTGACCTCTCAAGTGCCATCCAGCTCAAGTGCCATTCTAGGATTCCATATCAGAGAAAGGGGAGACTGACACCACAGAGGTTCACCCAGAACCCCAGAAGCAGGGAGTTTGGACTTGAACCATACTTCTTTTCCCTTTTAGGCCATTTCTAGGGAATAACTAGAGAAGTCAGATTCACTCATACATTGGCCTGCTCAGCTCTGTAGGGGTGAGAGGAAATGACAAGGAGACAGAGAGACCTGAGCAGGCACAGGTGTGTATTCACACCCATAACACACACACACACACACACACACACACACACACATACACACACACACTCTCTCTCTCTCTCTCTCTCTCTCTCTCTCTCTCTCTCTCTCTCTCTCTCTCTCTCTCTCTCTCTCCCTCAGGGGACTCACCACTGCAGCTGCTGTGTCCGTGGCCAGGGAAGCCCAGCTGAGGAGGAGGGTAAGCACGCCACAGCAAAGCATCCTGGAGAGAAATGGACATAGGTAATACAGGCTTCCTCCTACCCTATGGGAGCCTAGTCATAGACTTAAGATCTACAGGTGAGGTACAGCTAGGTGGCACAGTGGATAGAGCTCTGCCTTGAAGTCAGGAGGACCTGAGTTCAAATTTGGCCTCAGACACTTAGCTGTGTGACCCTGGGCAAGTCACTTAATCCCGACTGCATCACCAGGGGAAAAAAAATCTACAGGTGAATGTAGAGGCCATCTAGGTCAACCCCCTCATTTTTCAGATGAAGAGATTGAGTCTCAGAGAGGTTAAGTGACTTGCCCAAGGTCACACAGTAAGCTGAGATGGGAAGGCAGGTCTCATGACTTCAAACTGGGCACTAAATCCCGCTGTCTCCAATGCATACTGGTGAGCGAAGCCTCCTCCCATGTTGTTCCTGTGGCTTCTTAAAATTCAGTAATTAGGTCAACCTATTAATTACAGTGACCATGACATGGGGAAAATCTATAGTGGGTTGGGGAGGCTACAAGGAACCTACGATCCTGAAGCAGTACAAATAGAAAAAAATAATTATGATTTCCTCCTAGGACAAAATAGTGCCAGAAATTGCTGCACAACCAGATCCCAACATCTCGATATACTTGGGAGAGAAAAGGGCCTAGCAAGTCTTAACTTCTCTGAGACTACATATTAGTCTCAGACTGCTAAATTAGATGCTAATGTGCTCCCTCTCTCCTAGGGCAAAGGGGCCTCAGAAAGACTGGGAGTGTTTTCAGTTTGCTGTGGAATTACTGGTGCTCAGAATTGGAGTCTCTTGGCACCCTGATGGTTTGCCTGCTCTCTCATCTACTCTTGGGGCTCTGTGAAGAGGCCCCAAGTCTGCCAGTCTGTCCATGGCCACAGAAGTGGCAAGAGACATTAAAAATGGTGGCTATGTTTCTTTACTTTAAGACACTTCAAAATGGTGGCAGGACTACAGGGATACAAGGATTAGAGGAATATAGGCAGGGATACAGCCTAGCTATGGACATATGTACAGGTAAATGTCAAAACAGTATGTTGCAGTAGGAAAAGTACTGTATTTGTAATTAAAAGGACTTGGGTTCAAATCCTACCCTACTACTTAATATAGTGAGCTGGGAAGGAAGCTACATGGAATCTACTGTCCAGAAGCAAACTGCAAAGTGCTAATTAACATTTTTCCGGGGGGTGGGGGGAAACAGGGGCAAAGACCATTAAGTTGTCAAAAATCTACATGATCTCCCAGCAAGTCATTCTATCTCTCTAGGACTCAGAGAGGGAAATGAAGGGTTGGACCCCTAAGATCCCTCTCTTTTCAGTTCAAAATGGATGATTCTATGATTCTACCCCTGTGGTTTGGTACAAAGTTAGTTACTGCCATCATTTGGACTCAGAGGATTTCTTGGGTCTATGACAGCTCTAATGGTCTATTCTTAATTTCTGCTCAAGCAGCATGCCAGGAAAAGGCAGCTTTGGAAGAAGCGCCAATGAATCCCCCCAGCCAGGTCAGGGCTTGGCTTAGGGAGGGGGTAACCATACATATCTTACCATTCCCACCTCCTCATTTTATTGGACACCCCCATCAAAGGCTCTGATATTACTTAGGGCCAAAGATACTCACGTAGCTAGGAGACATTTGGAGTGCTTAGCTAGTCCCAGGCAGGCGATGAGGCAGATAACCAGGTCCGAGATGAAAAGCAAGAGATAAGAAAGCCACCTGGGAAAGGAGGAAGGGATAGTGGTCAGAAAATTGAGAAGCAGGAGATCCACAGGCAGAGCCTGTATTTCTAAGGACGTCCAAGGTGCTTTCTGACATATCCCTTTCATTATCAATGAAATGCCCATCACCTACAGTTAAATCACTGAATAAACACGGTCCCTTCCTCAAAATGTGAAATAACCAATATGTCCTGAGCCAATGGGGTCTGCTGAGGATGGGAAAGTCTGGAGCATGATTTCTGATTGGGCCTGGAGGAAAGAAGCCCCACTTGAAAGAGGTGTCAAGGTAGAGTGGAAAGAACTTGGGACTGTGGTCAGGAGATCTGAGATGTGGGTTGTAGCAACTAAATAGCTGTGCAACACTGAATAGGTTAGTTCCCACTTTGGCCTCAGTTTCCTCTGTCCAGACTTCCTAAAGCAAAGCAGTTAGATTAGTTCATGGGTTGGTGAGGAAACTATAACTGAGGACCAAATCTGGCTTTGTACAGTCTGTGAGCTAAGAATGGTTTTTCACATTTTTTAATATAATAAAATTTTATTTAAAAATGTAAAAACCATTGTCGGGCAACTGGGTGGTACAGTGGATAAAGTAACAGGACTGAAGTGAGGAAGACTCATCTTCCTGAGTTCAAATTCGGCCTCAGAGACTGGCTAGCTGTGTGACCCTGGACAAGTCAAGTAAACCCCAAATGGGGTCATAAATATTCGGATATGACTGAAATGACTAAATAACAAAAAAAAATCCATCTTCAGTTCACAGACTGGCCAAGTGGGGGCCAATCTGCAGCATAACTGGTTGTTCTCAAACCCCCCTCCATTAGATAAGGGTCACAACCATTCTGTGATTCAGGGATAATTTTGCTGTTTGGACAAGGACTGGTATTTAATTATGAGCTCATGAAAAATTGTTGGAAACAGGCAGCAAGTGTCTCTTTGCACTTATACGCCACGTTGGCTATTCAAAGCCCAAGCAGGCCTCAGGGTGATGCACTTCTGCTTTACATCTTGGATCCACGGAAGTAGCTGGGGCTCACTGCTGACTTGAGCAAACTCCAACATGAAAAGCCAGAAGAGCAAAAGAACCACAGAACCTGGGAATTAGAAGGGACTGCAGTGACCTTGTGGCCCAGCTCAGCCCTGAAGGGACTCTCCAGTGTAACCTAGCTGAGAAATGGCTGTCAGCCTTTGCCTGAAGACCACTGAGGAGAGTGAATTCACCCATTCTAAGGCAGTCACCCATGTCATGCCTGCACTGTTCTAATTATTAGAAAGTTTTGTTTTGTTTTCCCGGCATCAAGCCCAAATCGGCTTCTTCTTTACTCCTATCCACTGATCCTGGTTCTGCCCTCTGGGATTAAATAGACCAAAGTCGGGGCAGCTAGGTGGCTGTAGTGGATAGAGCACTTGCCTCGGAGTCAGGAGGACCCTGAGTTCAAAGCTGGCCTCAGACACTTGACACTTACTAGCTGTGTGACCCTGGGCAAGTCACTTTACCCCAACTGCCTGATAAAAAAAAAAGTAAAAAAAAGTAAATAGACCAAAGTTAATCCCCCCTTCCCCATGGTAGCTTTAAAATACTTGAAGACAACTTACATGTTCCCCTTGAGTCTCCTCTAGGCTAAAACACCCCCAGTTCGTTCAACTAATCCTCATTTGTCATGGATTTTAAGGCCTATCTCTACTGTTTGCCCTATTCTCAGCATAATAACCTTTTATTGTTGTCATTCAGTCATGTCCAACTTTTCATGACCCCATTTGGGGTCTTCTTGGCAGACACTGGGAGTGGTTTGCCATTTCCTTCTCCAGCTCATTTTACAGATGAGGAAACTGAGGCAAACAGGATTCAGTGACTTACCCAGGGTCACACAGCTAGTAAGTGAGGCCAGGTTTGAACTCAAGATGAGTCTTCCTGACTCTGGGTCTAGCACTCTATTCACTACGCCATCTAGCTGCCCCCAAGAACCTACAGTTTATTTATATCCCTCTTCAACAGCAATTCCCAGAACTGAACACAATATTTCAGATTAAGTCTGATGAAGGCAGACTTCAATAGGATTACCACGTCCCAATTTCCCAATAGGAGCTATGCCTCCTATCACCTGTTGGGACTTCAACATCACGATACTGAATTTTTGTAGACCCCCCCCAACCCGTCAGATCTTTTTCAGAACTGCACTCCAATGCTGCCTCTCTCATGTTGTACTTAGGATGTTGATATCTTATACCTACCTGTAAGACTTTACATTTATCCCTGAAGTGTTCCCTACTATTAGATGCTCTCACCTGCCAAAATTCTTTTGGAACTTATTACACACTTAAAAAAAAAGAGCTGTACATAGCAGATCTGCAGTTTCACAATCTTCTTTTTCTGTTCTACACATGTATGGAAATGCCCATTTTGTTTGTGTTTAATTAAAAATAAATTTAAAAAGACCCCTTCATCCAAATACTCTCCAACATGTTTCTCTCCTCTGCTTCCAGGATTTCTTCACATGAAAAGAGATTCCAACTCCCTTCTTTTATGGATAAGGAAACTAAGTGCCAGAATTGGGAAGTGACTTATCATTGAGTGGCTACTCAGTGGCAGAGCTGAGACTAACTGGGTGTCTTGGCACATATATTACTTCTTCTGTGCATACCCTGAAATTTTAACATGGAGGGCCTGGTTGTTCAGGGCAATAGGTCACTCAAGGGTAGAGTTAACACATGAATGGGATCTGAGGGACAAGGGCTTTGCTCAGATTTTATTAAGACAGATCCAACTACTAATAACCCTTTCCCTGGATAAAGAAAGAAGAGCATGGCAGATGACCTGACCTGGGCATTTGGCATCATGGATAAATTAAGCTTATCTATATCACTGTCATTCCTAAACTGTGAGCCCCGGTGTCCTGATGCCACAGCAAACTCACAGGGGCTCTGTAGGAGACTGGAAATTCTGATCTCACCACTTAGTGAGCAAGACTGTTAGATTATTTCTTTTGGCCTAGTGGCGCCTTGAAAAAATTACTGAGACACACTAAGGTTGCTATAAACTGAGAATGTCTGGGAACCTCTGAACCATGAGCTAAGTTTATGCTTCTTTTGAGCAGAATACCAAAATCTAGGGATAATATATTATAATATACTAAATGGATAAGTGCTCAAAACATAAAATAATTAATCAGAGAGTAGGAGTTATCTTTCAGGTCCATGGTTACAGGGAGAATTCAATCAGTCAATAAATATTTATTAAGCACCTACTATGTGCCAGGCACTGTTCTAAGAATTAATAACCAAATAAACAGAGGAGGTCACGAAAGATAAGTAGGTTAATTAAATTTTACTAAAATGTATCTTTGATTTTATCAATCTGGATGTTTGCTCTAGTGATACAAATCACAAGCCATCCCATCCACCCTATCCAATGTACTGGACGTCTTCCTTGATTTTTCCCCACACAGTGAGAATAACAATGGAGTTTTCAAAAGAATAAAGAGAAATTACCAACAGCCATAACAAATAAAAATGTTTCAAATGCAAAATGCAAATTAAATAACACTGAAGTTTTACCTGACAACCATCAAATTGGCAAAGATAACGAAAGTCTGCAATATAATACAAGCACACTAATATAGCCTTGGGGAGCTGTGAATGGGTCAAACGTTCTTAAACATGATTTGGAATTATGTGCTCAATGTCACCGAACCATTCTTATTCTTTGACCCAGTGATCCCAACATAGAGCTCAAGGAGGTCAAAGACAGAAATGTCCCATATATTCCAAACTATTTATAGCAGCACTTTTCATGTAACAAAAAACTGGAAACAAAGTGGGGACCCATTGGTTGACGAACTTGAGTTACATACTTATGATAGTGAATAAATAAGATGTGATCTAAAGAGAAGACTGTTCAAGGTAGTTGCTTGCCTTAGAGAGGGGAGGGAAAGTGGCTGTGAAAGGATGCATAAAGGCTGATTTAGTCTTTTCATTTGTCTTTGCCTTGGCTCTAGAAAAGTGAACATGGCAGAGAGTAGGAAGGGTGCTGGATTCAGAGTCAGAGAACCTGGGTTCAAATTTTGCCTCTGCTATTTCTTACCCACTTAACCTTGGGTACATTACTTTGCCTCTAGAGCTCAGTTTCCTTATCATGGAGGTTGGAGCGTGTGTTATACTAGATGACCTTCAAAGTCCCTTCAGACTCTAAAACTGATGATTCTATGACCTACAAAGGGCAGAGCTAAAGGGAAGACACACTCCACTCAAAAAGGCCATCAGCTGAGAGGACATCTTATGACACTGTCTTGTGTACTGGTACATCTGCCAACAGGATACACTGGGGGTGGGGGCACACTGCAATCTGTGGCTCCAGTGAGTAAGGACAACTATCTCTGGCCCTGGGTGAGAGGTAATGCCTTTTTAAGTCTCAGGCCCTTGAACTTTCTGAGTTACCCATCTTGATATTTTTAGGTTCTTCCTTTTTTCCTTCTCCTTTGGCCAGGGTGTATTGGAGTCATTGAGTCAGAGACACTATGGTTGCTATATCGTTAAATTTGTGGTATGAGCATTTGTCCCTCAGAAACTGGCAAATGGGGCAGTTGGGTGGCACAGTGGATAGAGCTCCAGCCTTGGAATCAGGAGGACCTGAGTTCAAATCCAGCCTCAGATACTTGACCCTTACTAGCTGTGTGACACTGGGCAAGTCACTTACCCCTCACTGCCTCACCAAAAAGCAAAAAAAAAATTGGCAAATGTTACAAAATAAGGGTTTGATTTATTGTTTTTGATTGCCTAGGCTTAAGCAAGTAATAGAGAAAATGGTAATAATGCAGATTTAACTTCAAAGTGTGTTAAAAGTACTTTTTTTTTTCCTGGACAGCCATTTGTTAGCACACTGCTGCCTCTGGCTCTGTTTTCCTCTTTTCAGTGTTAAGCCATTTCAATTGCAGCCTCCAGGAGGCTGGACCCAGGGCATAGGCTTGGCAGGTCTTTGGAAAATTAACTCTACCTCACCCTTTG